ATAATCTAGTTCATTATGTAACTTTCAACATTGTATGAAAACTGAATTTGTATGAGTTCTCAGTCTCACTGTTCTCATTTCTCCGGACAGCAAGAGAAGTAGAAATAATGTTTCATTTCCTGTTATGTGTCATGCCAAATCACTAGTAGGTTTCTTTGGCCAAATGGAAGAACCTTCACACATGAAATATACTGACCAGATTAGGAAGAGGGTTGTGTGTAAGTAAACATGTTGTTGACAAGAGAGGGCCGGATCAGGAACCACGTAGCCTGAATATGTTTATAAGTTGTAAATGAAAATCCATCTATAGCTCATGAAAATCTTTATGATGCATCTTCTTAATTGTAACCTAATCTCTTGGTAGTCAATAAAAATTCATGATTGAACAATTGGACTGGCACCAGCTTTTGGGTTGCATCCAATTTGAAATTAGATATTGGGCTGCATTTTCTCTCATGAGCAGTTGTGTTACCTTGGCCTGATGGGAATTACACTTTAACAGCATTTGGAGGACCAGAGATTCCCCAGCTCTGATCCATGTCGTCTAGCTGTCAGTAATATGTGTTTTGATAACTTTCTCCCTCTGGATATTGTTGAATTCCAGCTCCCATTGCTCCTCAGTTAGCTGGGCTGGTTAGGAATGAGCGAAGTTGTAGTGAGAAATATTCAGATAGGCACAATTGTTCATCGTTTGTTTGCAGTCATTTTCTTGTAGGAGAAGTGCAACAGATACTATTATTCTTAGAACCCACCATTGGGTCTTGACCTTTTTAGCAGGGACCACACTGCTTTTTTAAAATAGCTGACAGTCTTTCAATTCTGATGAATGACTGCTTGCTTTGGAGTTACACTGTTTGCCACCAAATGCCTACAGCATATTCATTGACAAGAATAGATCAAATATAGGACTTACTTCTGGAAAAGGCATGTATAAGATTGGACTATTAACAACCTTTCACTCCCCAGCTTACTGCAGATGATATATTCACAAAAGTCAAGCTATCAATGTTACCTTACAAAGACCTAAAGCCCTTAAAGAACTCAGCAGTTTCTACTTTGGGTTTCTTGTGTGAATTTAGCTAGAATTTTTATTTATTTATCGTATCAGAAGCAAATTGAGAATACAGTTATAACTAGACAGTGATTACAATGAAAAGAGTCTCAGAAGAGTGGTTGAAGTCTTGGGATGTAGAGAAAATAAGGGACAGGGTGGAAGAGTAGAGGGTGAAGGAAGGAAGCCGAACAGGAAAGGGACTGAGAGTTAAATATATGCTACATTAAGTACATACAATCATCCCTTCATGTTCACTGTGGTTAGGAGCTCAGGACCCCCATGAAAGTAAAACTGTAAATAAAACAATTGCTGTTTTTTCCCCCTGAAAGAACATCTCTCTAGGAATTTCGAAGTCTTCCAGCAGAACACTATGGTAAACATCTTCTAGAAACTATTGAAAACTTTGGAGGAATTAGGTATTCTTAGAAAAAAATCATTTTAAACCAAATCCGCAAATGTGGAGGGATGGTAGAGTTTTATATCCCTATTCTTTAGCATTAAAGCACACGACCCTGCTCAAGATTACCCTATATTAGATTCATGCATAAATCTAGAAATTATAGTTTAAAAAATCAGTCCAAATAACCTGAGTCAACTTATCCATGGATTAATATGAGTACTGTCCTGTAACTCTTGTATATAAATAAAAAGGAACCATTCCCTGGGTAGAGGAGTGAAAGGGAACCTCCCAGGGAAACCTAATCGAAATCTCAATCTCCTCTATTCTTTCTGCCATTTTGCCCTTTCTAGCCTTTTTTGAATTCCTAAGTGGAAAAATGTTGATAGTAGCTAGAGGCAGGTGGCCCCTTGAGTTATTGGTGCTTTCTCCTTTGCAGAATGACCCTCAGCTTATCTATGGGACATATAAAGTTCCAGAATTTTGGCCGCCAAACCTGCCCTTGACTTTTGAGGTTGACTAATACATTGAGTATATACAATAGATCCTGCTTTCCAATGTGCGTTACTTATTCAGGGCATTATGTAATGTAGCCCTATGAAAGAGGAATGGCAGCTTTCTAGGAAAATGGGTGGAGGAGATAAGTAACTGAAACTTGAAGGAAGGTTCACAACATTTCAGGTCAGGAGAGCACGTGTGCTATTGCGGGTGAGGGAAAGAGGGAAGAGCAAAAAGGAGGGTGGTGAAAAGACTGCATATCTCAGAAAAGTGGTTGCTAGCTCTGGAACTGAACTTTGATAGATTCTGCCAGTTATGACTTCAGTTGCCAGTGAGCACTGTAACATGGCAACCCATACTAAAGAGCCCTGCATTTGAAGTGTGTGTGTCAGTTCTGCATTGATTTTCATTGTCTTCTTGTCTTCTGTCTGCCTAGTGGTGGTAAAACCTAAATGCAAACAAATCATGCATCACTGAGAAAGGCTGTCGTACAAGGTACCAGAGTTAGGATGGGGCACTTAAAATACGTTTGGCACTATTTTTTCTTGCATGTTTGCTGATTGCTGCCCTTTCTTATCCACAGGGAGTTAATAACCAGTATTTCAGCAACAGTTATATTTGAAAAATGCAAAGAAGTTACTGATTTTTTWTAAAAAAAAATATGGAGGTAATGCAAAGTACCAAAATTAAGTAATTTCACTACCTCCCCTCCAAATATAAAGAACAAAAATTGTTATGTTTATTCATTCTCATGGTGGGGGGGGGGGTGTTTTATTGGGACATTTGCAGGGGATTCCCTCCCCCATAACAGATTTGTTTGTTTCTGAAAAGTAATGAGTGAATTTGTTTCAGAATATAGATAGATAGATGAATTTCATGTTTAGACTTAGGTTGCATCTCAAAGATATTGCAGTATGTACAAATAAAGGTATTGCAAATCTGGAAAAAATGGAAATTGAAAACATTTCTGCTCTCAAGCACTTTAATTAAATAATACTTAATTTGTACTTTTATTCTCCCCCCCCCCCCCCCCCAATCCTGGCTTGTCCCTCTGTCCGCTCCCATGATCACTCTGTACTTGCAGCTCATTATGCTGCAAGGAGGTGGCAAGTGAGTGCAGAAAGATGCTAAGAAGGTAGTTCACTGAAGAGGACTCATATTGAGATAAGTCCTACAATCATGTGGAAAGCAATGCATAAGTTAACCTGGTTGCTACCATTATTACCTGAGGCTGCAGCTAACCAATCGGTTTTTAATGGGATTCTAACTCTACATACTGTGCATAGTCTGGAACGGTTTTTGCTCAATGACCTACAGCCCTGAAGCAGCACAGCAGCTCAAGATTCACATTGGCAGCACTTTAAGAGGGGCACTCTCTGTTTCCATGACATATAAAGTGTCATTTCTCTGGCAGGACATGCTAGAAACTACTGTTAATTTGAAAGTTCTGGTGCTACTGGCAGCTGTGTAGTGAGGTAAAGATTGCCTGTGAGTGAAGAAATTGAGGTTTAGACTCGACAGTACAGGAACTCCATCTGCACTGTGTTCACATTTGTTTCTGGAAGTATTCTTTGCAAAAAGAGTTTTGTTGATTGTTGCTTCTTTCCCTCCCCATGCTGTTAATCATGTTAGCACTTATATTTGTGAAATACAGAGAAGTAGATGTAACTGTAACAGATGCAAAGCTCCTGAAGACCATCTCCCCCAATTCCTTGTTTACATAAGGACCATCACTTCTATACTACACTTCTCCCCACATCTTAAAACTAACACGTATTTGTCAGGTTTGCACTCACCAACCAAAACTGTATTATGCTGTATAACTTTTGTTTTTTGCAAATGGTTTTTAAATTGATATTTAACTGGCAGTTAATAACTTATGAATCAGCACCAGTTCAGAAACCACCACATTATGTAGCTCTGGTCTAACACAAATGCCCTTTCTAAACTGTCATATACAATCCTGATTATCTGTTTTGAACTGGATTGTATGGCAGTGTAGACTCATACAATCGAGTTCAAAGCAGATAATATAGTTTATCTGCTTTGATAATCTGGATTATATGGCAGTGTAGAAGGGGCCATATTTGCCTGATCATACTGTGTTTTCATTGTACCTGCTACGTTGATGTTGTTTATATACACTACGGTAATTCATTAGCGTACTCATGCCATCATTTCTTGCCCATATCACGAAGTGAAATATTAATTAAATAGATTATAGTTTAAGATGTCTCATGACATAAGAGGCTGAAATAGTACTGTGGTGGCAACACTTCCATTATAAGGAATTGTTTCCTTAGGCATGAAAGCAGGAATGGCAGTTGTGAGATATCTCTTTCTTTAAAATGACTTAATTTAAACAAATGGAAAGCTCTGGGGAAAGCATATGTTTCAGATTATTCGGCAAAGGAGTCATATGAAATTGTCCTTAAGTGTTTTGTCCTTTCCAATGTCCTTTACCACAAATAGTTTTTTAGGCCAGTCTGCTGTTCTCCATTTATTCCTCCTGAGAGAAGTGGATTGATTGCATTACAAAGTCATGAACAAGGAGCATATCACTTTGAAAATACCTGAATTGTGTTCATAGCCATGTTTCCAGAAAACAAGCATTATATGTAATATATATTATAATTTCTCATAGAGTATAAAGGCATATTTCTAGTATATTTTGATGGGGGATGGTGAAGGAGAGGGAGGAAAGGGCAGAATCCTCTGTTGGCATTAGGCTCCCATCTTTGCAAACATGCAAGTTTCATAAATTCAGCATCATTATTGTGCATGCTTCAATAAGACTTAGATATTGATCTCTCATTTATCCTTTTTTCCAAGTGTGTGTTGTTGCCGGGGGACCGGGGGGGGGGGGGGGGGGGGGGGGGGGGGGAGATGACATGAAGTCTCACCAAGTTAAGTAGGACTTATTCCCTAATAATATACAAATTGCAACTTATAAGGTCAGCTCTTCTTTCCAGTTAAAATAATTTTCTTTTCTATAGTTTCTTTGGTAAGTTTGTTTTCAGCTAATAGTCTATTTTATTTATATGCCTCTAGAATAAGAAAATATCTCAAAATCTACTTCTTCATTGACCTCCTGCAAGCATTTCAGATTTGGTAGCTTTTCTAACTGGTAAGATTCATTGCCACAAAATATTTTCTTTTGTAGAAACTTGTAATAAACCAGAAATAACGTCCACTCAGTCTTTATAGCTGCTATTAATTTGAAATGGAAGAAAAATGGAACAGAAAAATAATGACTTAATTGGAAAACTGCATAACCATTTCTGCTGCTGTTTTTCCCCATCTCCATCTTTGGTTTGCATGGGCAGATAAAGTACTGTACTGTTAACTCAGCCATGGTTATAAAAATTGTTGTGTAGAATGCATCCATGTGCCATCAGTTCATATCTTCATGTAGAGGCATGATTACATGAATAAAATGCAGCTTAAACTGGTTCAGTTTCTCAGAAAGCACATTCACCCTGTTTGATAAGCCATGGCTTGTTGTAGATAAGCAGCTTTCCTTCATGTGATGTGAACATAGTTACCGCTGCAGGGGTAGAATCAAAAGTTTTTTTTAGGTTTTGTTTGTGAATTCCATCACAGGTTTGTTGATAGAGAAACAAATGGGGGAAGAGGGCATCTGTTCCAGGGTTTGCATGTTAAACTGTGGAGCGTGGCCATATGGCCACTCATGCTATAAGCAGAAGCAATGAAATTGTGTGCATCAATGTACTCTGTTGTACACAAAATCCAGAGTTCTTAGAAATCTCTGCCTTGTTGGGTCATGCAAACACACACATACATAATGTTCTTCCAATGTTCTTCAGAAGGATTTTACTTATCGTTTTATCATGCAGAATTGTTTCAAATTGCATTAGAGCTTGCCTTTTCAGATTACAGAACAAGCAATTTGCATGCATACCGGAAAGATGGCAGGATTTTCTAAAGACTAATTTAGATATTCCATTTTGCGATATTGCATAAGTGCTGACTCTTTCAACTATTTAGGATAGGTTGTTTTTCTTAATTTTAATTTTTATGAAATAAGAAATTTATTATGACTCAATAACTTTTTTACTGAATAGGCTTCAGACAATATAAAAACCAATATATTCATCAAATGCAACAGTGAATATATTAAAACATCAAGATTAAAATAATAAAAATACTGAAAATTATATATACATTTTAGTATAAGTAAGATATATTATTAAAACAGATACATGATTCGTGCAATCTGAATGTGAGACTTTTCTCTTAAATTATCTTGTTTCAAAAAGGAGAACTTCTAAATCATTAACTGGCCAAATCTTTAAAGAGAAACTTAATTTTTACCTTCAATCTCCCAGTTTCTCATATTCCCAAGAAGCCAAGAGAAATAATATTCCTTACATTTTGCATGTAACTGGCATTTTAGTAAATAGCAGGCCAGGTCTTGTGCTGGAATGCCCTTAATTTTTCTTTATTGTATCATTGTGACCATATGTTGATTCCATTTCATTGGAGGAATGGGTATTCTTCCTGAATCGGGTCTTTGCCCTCACTAGCCATTTCATAAATGTTTTAATTGATCCTCCTAGCTAGTGTCCATCTAAACACTTGTGTAGAATATTGACATACCGGCTGTGGTCCATCTGTACACTGCTGCCTGGTATTCATTGTTTAAAAACATGTCTTATGTTAGAACTAGAAACAATGATACTTAGAGTAGTGATCCATGGACCCGTACTGGTCCACAAGCCATTGGCATCCAGTCGGCAAGCTTTTTGGAAATGAAAAGAACTATTGTAGCTGTCAAATACATATATATTACTGGTTCTAGGTACCTTGGGAGCAATGGGAGCCCGTCCCCATGTCGGCTTGAGAATCAGTATCTTAGAACTTTCACATTAAAATAATAATTAATCAACAATTTTGAGAAATTATATATCCAGATTTTTTGAAGAATTAATCCACTTTTTAATTTAATATGTTTATGGCTGCTTTTGTTTTTGTACTATGATTTGTTAATTTGAGTTGCTTTGGTTGCTGATTATTACTATGTTAGTATACTGCCCCGAGTCCCTTTTGAGGGAGGGGGTGGGATACAAATAAAGTATTATTATTATTATTATTATTATTATTATTATTATTATAAACCAAAGATGGGTATAGGGCACCCCTGGGGCACATGTGTATTCCAAGTTCATGCTTGTGGTCTTCAGCTGTTCTAGGCTTCCCTAGACTTGCTTTTTCTGTCCAAAAAAAATGGGGAGCTGTCTCGTGATAGCCACCAGGACTCATAACTCACTTTTTCAGTAGGTTGCTTATCCTACATATCTTTTTCATTCTTAAGAAAACTTCATTCCCCTCCCAGCAACCAACAATGCATCTCAGTCTGCTGCCAATTTTTTTGGGAGTTGGTGCTGTTTCTTGAGTCTTTCTTTCTATTAAGATAATATTTGTGAGGTCATGATGCATTCCTCTTTTAATTTTTAAGTATATGCCTATCTGTATAAGGCCCTTCACTAAAAAAAGAAGTTTCTAATTTACACTTCAGTAAGTGTAAATTAGAAACTCCTTTTTTAGTGAAGGGCCTTATACAGATAGGCATATATAATGTATATAACACCATCCCTGTACATGGAGTGTTACAAGTAGAAGAACAACAGAACAGTTCCTTGCCAACAGGTTTACTGTCCTATTAAGACATGACAAAAAAGGAAAAGAGGATGGCAGTGTGGAAGATGATTAAGTCCACCAGATATTGCTTCCTCTTCTCTCTCTCCAAAGCCACAGCAGGGCAATTGAAGAAGAAAGAGTCAACAAACAGCACTGACTCCCAAAAACCTGGAAGCAGAAATGTATAGTTATGTGCGTGAGCATGATGGAGCTCTCTGCCTCTTCTTACCTCTCTCTGAGGCTGGGCATGGCAGTTAGTATGGAGAGAGGGCCTTCCTCTCCTTTGGGATCAAGGCATGATAGAGCTGTGCCTGTCTCTTCTTCTCCATTCAAGGTCAGGACATTGGCAGTTGGGATGAATTAAAGGCCTTTCATCTGCTTCTGGTCCAGGGCATGATGGAGCTGTGCCTGCCTGTTCTTTTCCTCTGAGGCTAGGCAGTGGCAATTCGGAATAGGGGTGAGGGGCTCCTGTCTGCTTCTGCTCCCTGGCAGGATGGAGCTGTGCCTGTTTTCAGTACTTTTTCCTTGGGAGATTTATGTTTATCAAATCAAAAACATATTTTAAATCAATGAATAACATGTAAAGTTGTTTACCCTTAAAATTTTGTTTTGTTACTAAATTAGACAAGAAAAAACATTTATCAGTAACAGAACCCATGTGCATAAATCTTGCCTGCTTTTAGGATGAAATAGAATTCTGTCCTATCTAATATTTTGCTCTTTTAAAAAGAAATTTAACATTGTATTTCTCTGCTTGTCAGTTAAGCAAACTGATCTTATTATTTCTAGAGTCCCCTCATTTTCATTTTTTAAAACAACAACAACAGTGGGCCTACTATTCTAACCTTCCATGTATCCGCTATTATTTATATGGATGAATAAGCTGACTTGTAAAGCTGTGCTATATTTAAAAATCTCAGGTGGCATCTAATCCTCTTTCGGAGCTTTATTATTCTTTGGTGTTTCTACAAGAACCTTTTATTTCCTGCATTGTAACAGGTGACCACTTGGATAAATTGTTAATATTTGCAAAATAAACCATCCATTATAGGAAATGTTCTTCATTTTTTGTTTTTTCCTTAAATAACTCTAAATAAAAATCTTCCCAGACCAATCTTAGTGTCTCAAAATTAAAACTCAGTTTTCCTAGTCTGTCGGAGCTAAAGATGCACTGAGTGTTCCTATCCTCCATTTCTAATTCAGCCCAGCTTTTAGCAACATACTCCATTCCCTTAGTTTTAATTTATTTTCATACTACTTCAACCCACTAGAGAATGAATCCACTTTAAATCCGGTTTCTGCCTCCTACAAAATTCTGAGGTTTGTAGTTTAGTGAGGCTGTAGTGTGATGTGGTCCTATAGTCTTATCTATGAGCAAGCATAGATGTATAAGATCTGTAATCTGGACTATCATGTGTTTTTATCATGTGCTAAGATGAACACTATTAGAGAAAACGTATTTCTACTGCAGGAAATAAAGAACAAGTATTTACTACCTATTCATGGTTTCTAAAAATTCACAAAGGCAGGAAGAAGATGCACACTTCTGCTTTGTGGTTTCAAAGTTGATTTTTTTCAATTATTTCTGCTGCACAAACTGGAATTGTATACTATTTCAGGTCATGGGGATTTCTTGACAAGATTCATTCTGAAGAGGTTTATCTTTTGCCATCTTTTGAGTCTGAGAGAGTGTGGCTTGACCAAGGTCACCCAGTGGATTTGCATGGCCAAGGGGACATTTGAAGCCTGGTCTGAAATCATTGTTCAGTACATGATGACAGCGACAATATTTATTTGTACCTTACTTTTTTCTCAGGACTGATACCCAACACTAAAACTATACAAACCACTACATTCACTAACTCCCTTTGTTTATTAATGTGCTTGTCTATTACTGTTTTTTTTAATTATAAGACTTCATTTAAAATTACATGATTTTAAAAACTGACTTTCTTAAAGTTGAACATAATAGGAACAATTATTGATAGGTTACTATTGTTCTTTTGAAATGTGATTTCTGTTATGTGCTAAGCAGAGGGAAAACAAAACTCTTTCACTATAACTGAGGTTTAAATGATATTTACTCACAGGTCATGCACACAGTTTTTTCTTATGCATGGTGGTGAAAAATATCTTCGTGACAGGTACATGCTTTGCAAGCCTACGATACTAGATACAATCCAGGCATCTCTAGTTCAAAGAATCAGGTGGCAGGTGATAGGAAATAATATTTCCATCAAAGACCTTGTGTTGCAGCTGACAGCAAGAATATATAATCCTAGATTTAATAGACAGATATGACCTAGTATTTCCAGCATCCAGGTGCCAAATCCTGGATGCGGCTCATATTTTTGACATACATTCTGCAGCAAATTAATTATAGTACCTCAAAGGGTCTCTGGAGTTCAAGACAACTTACAGAAGTTAAAATATATACAGATGGTAACAGATAGGTAAAAACATATA